ACAGCAAGATTCTCATGGGGCCTGATATTTAGCACATATGTATGTCTGCATGTGACCATCCCTTCCTGTTCCAACAGATAAGAAACTCAGGGAGCCGTAAACTACTCCCTTTTTAAAAAAACTAAATTGATTAGAATAGTACTCTACATTTGTGTGATGTTTTGACAGTTACAACATGCTTTTACACACACCATCTCAAAACCCAGTGGAAGACAGCAGTTGAAGAATTATTGTGCCCATTTTACAGATGAAAGACAGGAGGCCCAGTACTTGCTTCAGATCTTGCTCAATCAGAAAGTGATGGAGTTTGGGCTTAAAAACAGATTCTAGGTCAAAGCCTTCCTACTACTTAGGATTACCTCTAATGTACCTTCACATAATATTAAGATAACAGTCAATATTTTTTGCGCTCTTACTATGGGCCAGGTACTAAGCACTTGACAAATATTCCACTTTTAATCCTTACAACAAGCCCATGAGGTCTGTGCCATTATTATCCCCACTTTACAGATGAGGAAACTGAGGTGCAAAGAGGTAGAGTGACTTGCCCAAAATCACCTGGCTGGTCCATGACAGAGCTAGGGTTCAAACCCAAGCAAGTAGTGCTCCAGAACACAAGCTCGCAGCCACTTTGCCAGGCTGCCACTGCAACAAGAGTGGAGGTGCCTGCTTTATACCAGATGGCGTGTGGCCCCTAGAACCCACCAGTTCAGTAAGGACTGAACTGATATGTAGCAACACAAACTATGGGGAATTATCCAATAATTTCTCTTATTCTGGAATTTGATTGTACAAAGATTGCCTGAAATAAGCCAGGGTTTAGATAACTTCTTACTAAACTCTCCTGACAGTTTTATTGTAACAATAATTATAACTCAATTTGACCTATTCTGAAAGACACCACTGCTTGCTCAGCCAACAGCCACCCCCACCCCACGCCACAGACACAAACACACACACCTCTCTATTCCTTCCATAATGGCAAAGCCGATCTCCCATTATAGAAAGTGAAGCGTGGAAGACACTGGATGCACACCTTCCTAGATTCTTTTGCCGCTAGGGCACGGGCTTATGACCCAATCCTGGTCAATGGGATCCAATGAAAAGGTTTATGGGGGCCTCTAGAAAAGGTGTTCCTCCATGATTAAAAGAAATGCATGAGGAAATACCACCTTTTATATGGTGGATGTGGTAGTGCCTACTGACGTCCAGAATTACTGCAGCCACCTTATGATCATGATGACTACAGTGACATAGCTGGTGTGCTGAGGATGGCAGAGTGGAAAGGTGGAAAGCGCTCGGGTCGCTGAAGAGCTGCTGAACAACCCGGAAGCTGCCCTACCTTGGACTTCTCCTTAGGTAAGATAATAAGTGTCCTTATTATTTAAGCCACTTTAGCTGGACAACTGTCTTACTTGCAGACAAAAGCATTCTAACTCTCAAGTCTCAAGAGGAAGTGCTACAGAGAAGAAACAGCTCTGGATTCCGAGTCAAATGACCTGGGTTCTGATTCACTTACTTCCCAGGTGACCCAAATTGCTTAATCTCTCTTAGTCTCATTTTTCATATCTGTAAGACTCAAATAACACTCAGTAACACAGTAACATCAATAAAATGGAAATAACACAGAAGAGTCCTGAAAATCACATGAGATAATGTGTATACAACTACTCTGTCAATAGCAATGTTTTACTCAGATGTAATTGGTTTTAGGTAATAAACCATAGACTTTTTAAACTGGAGCCATCCATATACCCAATTCCCTTATTTTATAAAAGAAGAAACATTGAGTCCAAATGTCAAATGACTCAATCAATGTCACTCAACTGGTTGGTAACGTAACTAAACCACACATCTCCTGATTCCCAATCTAATGTTGTCAGGCTACCCTCATGTTGATAGGTAATGAGCTAGACTAAACATTGGGCACTCTTTCATTCAGCAAGTGTTTATTGAGCACAAACTATATGCCAGGTACTAATCTAGGTACTGGAGACTCCTTGATGAACAATGACAACAACAAAATGTTGCTAAACTCATGGATTTGACAGTCTAGAAAGGAGGTTAATCCACATGTATAAAAATTTACTGAGTGCCTACTATGTGCTAAGACTATGCTAGGATTTCTGCTCAAATCCAAATCCAAATTTGCAGCCAATTCCAACAATACCAACTATGTGTACCAGGCTTTGCTGAAGAATGAATAATGTGAAAAGTCTTGATTTTACTCAATAAAAGTCAGCATTAAAAAATAGCAAGTTCGTTAGAAGGACTTGTGAATACCATGCTGGCGTCTAAAAAAGTGGACAGATGGAGAAGATGGCTAGGACTCCACTCTACTTGAAACAGCAAGACTGAAGGAAAGAGGTTAGAGCTAAACCATGTCTTTCTACCTTCTCCAGACTCAAGGGTTGGCTCAGTTGGAAAAGCTCAGTAGGAAGCAACTGCTTCCCTTCCCCAGACCTCTGTCTAGTGCCCCAGACTCTCCTTTTGCTCCCTGTTCATTTGGAATTTCTCTACCACCCTGCCTAAACATTCACAAACAAATGACATGATGGGTAGGAATCCTAGACACTGTGAAAAAAGAGCAAGTGACTTTTGGAATCTCCTACTGGGAATGGCCATCAGGCTGCTGAAACTGGCCATTAGGTTGTTTGTTGGAGAGTTTTTTTTGCCAAAATACCAACACAATTACATAATTTGGAAAAAGAACATCTAAAAGCTATTGTTTTTCAAACAAAAATCCATACCCCACATTTTGTGCAGTTTATGGAGGGAGGATGCGTGTGACTCTATGTGACATTCCATACACCCCTTTAACTTTCCGATTCCCTGGAATGGAGGAAAAAGGCAAGGAAGGAAGGAAGGAAAGACAGATGGAATCCCCAGGGCATGCACTGATGACTTCAAAAGGTTCTTTTTTAAAAAAAATCATTTTCTTCTCACTCTAAACAAATGGAAAGTTTTTTGTGACCTTACACCCAGAAGTGCAATTTCAACTCCTGGGGATGGAATACTCTAGAAAGGCATAAGGTCCAAAATTATCAAAATAAAAATCGTTTAAATCATTTTAATTGGTTAAATGATAATTACCATTTAGGGGCAGAAGGGGCAGAAAAACATGTGCCACAAAATGAAACATCTGATTTTTTTTTTCAGCAATGCCAAAATCAACGTTTTGGAACATAGCATTTTAACCTCTTTGGCAACAGTTGGGCCATACAAACTCTAACTTTCCAAACTGTTATTGGATTGGCACAATTTACTGTTTCCCAGAATACCAGACAACAAATACATGTCATTGGGGGCGACTTATCTATTCTAAGGAAAACTTAGTCCGGAAAGGGGAAAAAACCAGTGGTGCCCACTCCAAGTGGGCCAGGACAGGGCACACAGATGGCTGAGAGAGCAGAGGAGAACCCCACAGCCCCACTGCCTGCACTGGCCCCTCATTATCGACATATTCAGGATGGATTAAAGGACTTGGACATGCACTTTAGGACTTAAAGCGAAGAGCACAAACCACTCTCTCTGGAACACAAGACAGTACATGCCAAATGTTTCTGTGCAACCCTGTGGCTGCAGAAAAACTGCCTATCCTGCTAATCCTTTTATTAGGTTTAGCTAGAATGAAATGCAAGATCCTCCAGAAAATTCAGTGGGAGCCTACTTCCCTGGGAGGTCATAGGGCACCAGTTCCTGCCTTGAAACTTGTCCAGCTGTCAACTTACAAATTAGTTGCCACTGTCCCCCATCACAAACTCCTACCAGCAAAAAAAAAAAAAAAATCATTCATTCATTCATTCATTCATTCTTGGTTAACACAGCCCAGAGAGGGATTCCTGCCACAGAGAGACGCAGCCCCCCTTCACTTCTCACAAGACAGGGCAGGGTGCCCTGTATTTACAAAACAGCTCAATCCTGGAGCTTCAAGCCTTGGGGTAGGTGAGAAGAGAAAATCCCCGAGATAAATAAGTAAATAGATTTAAAAGTCAGAAGCTAATAGTGCTGAGTCCTGACACGACCTTTCCAGATTGTGCGCACCGAGTGGGTCATGGCAGAGGGCACACACCAGCCTACACACCCACGCACCGACAGTGCACACATGCACACCCACACATGCATGAACACACATGCCCTTGCAGCTCACACCAGATCTCCTGCAAACACAAAGGCACTTACTACAGGAGGATGGGGCTGCCAGCAAAATTGCCTTTGCCCAAACAACTCTCCCTTCTCCAACTTGGACGGGAGTGAATGTCCACCAATAATCCAAGGGACGCTTCAGGTCCTGCAGGGCTCCCTCCCTGTCAGTCTCTCAGCCCTTTTCCTTTCTCTGAAACACTCGGATTTCATAGGATTCCTTCTGAGGTAGCTGCAGTTTCGCGCAGCGCGCGCCCCATCCCTCAAGGCTGGAGCTCTGGGCTGCCTGGCCTCTCTCACCTCCAGGAAACTTCGCCGCCGCCCCACACGAAGTAAAGGGCATGGGCAGGGGGGCAACAAGGAGCGGGAGCGGGTCTCTGGGTCTGAGGGCACCTTTGGAGCCCCAGCGCTAGAGAGAGAACTGAATGAACCCAGGCTGGTGCATGACTTCTCCACCTGGAGAAAGGGAGGAAGGAAGAGTGGGCGACATGCAGGTGACCCTCTGGGCTCTAGGAGCTCCCATTTCCTGGCGGGGTAGGGGACAGAAGGATTCGAGTTCCCCAGAAGACAGCTGCTCCGCGTCCCCAGCCTGGGCGCAGCGAGAAGTGCGCGCAGCGTGCACGCCAGGGGAAGGGGCCCGGGCGCGGATAACAGGAACTTGGCGCCTGCCCCGGACAGTGCCCCCATCGGTGGGTGAGGCTCCCAGCCTCAGAGGGCGGAGGAAACGAAATCTGGCTTTCTAGTAGGCGCCAGAGCGGGTTCCTCGCCCCTGCCTGCGCACGCCCACCTTCAGAGGCCCCTCGGTCCCGCCCTGCCCCCGGCGTGTCCCAGGCTCCCTCGCCCCGCGCCGCCGGCACCTGGATGTGGCAGGAGATCTCCGAGTCGTCCAGCAGCCGGATGGTGCATTTCATCTCTTGGCTGAGCGATTTGATGCTGGAGCTCCGAAAGTGGATCATTTTCATGGTCCTCCTGCCTCTCGGCACACAGTGGCAGGAGGAGAACATGCACCGCGGCCCGGAGGAGCGAGCCGGAGGCTCGGGGCCGGCGCGGCGCTGGTCCGCGCGGACACACACCCTCGCGCACGCACGGTCCCGGACACCCAGGAGCGGCTCAGCCCCGGGACAGCAGCGGAGACGGGCGCCTGCGGCCACACATGCTGGGCAGCTGGGGCGCGGCAGGCGGGTCCCTCCCTCGCTCTCCCTCCTCCTCCCTTGCCTCCGCCTCGCCCGCTGCTTTCCCCGCCTCCGCCCGTCGCGCGCGCTCCTGCGCCTCCCTCCGCCCGGGCTCGCTGGCCCACGATGCCCCGACCCCGTGACCGGCAGGCACGCGACGCACTCACTCCCACGAGTGCGGAGCAGCGAGAGGAGAAGGCGGAGGGACGGCTGGCACCGGTGGCCCGGGCGCCCCGGCGGTGGCCTGCTCCTCCGCCGCTGCGTCAGGCTGGGCCCGGCCTCCTCCCTCTCCGGCCGCGATTCCTCTGGCTCCCGGTCGCGCTCATCCCTGCCCGGGCTCCCCCACGCGTCCAAGAGCGCCCTGCTCGTCTCGGCCCCAGGGGCCTGGCCGCGGGCGCGATTAGAGGGCGATCCTGACCAACACTCGCAGGGAGGGTTCCACCGCGGGAGAGGATTGTTGGACCAGGGGCGAACCCCCGAGAGGGACATGAATCCGTGGCAGGGCTACACCAGGAATACGGCTAATGGCAACAACAATCTCTGGTACTCATGGGATTTTTTTAAAGCCTGTATTTAATACTAACCCGAGTCAATCTCCTTCTCTAAGAATTTCGGAGCCTTCTTAAACCAATTTCTCGTTTATGTCTCCCAATATCTCTGTAAGATCTTTGGTAGTGGTACCTTAGATCCCAGCAAGAGGGTCCCTATCCTGCCCCTCCCCCTTTAGGAAGCTTCCTCCTGCTCCCCCTTGCGGAGGAATCCAGATGTGCACTGTCCCGTTTTAGACAAGTCTCTGGGTACTGGGGACTCTGGAACTCCCTGCCCGCTTCCAGGGTGTTGGGGGCAGGGGATCTCCTGCCCCTCTGTCTTCCCCAGAGTGGCTCAAGCCCCTGTGTGATGTGCCCATAGGCCCAATGGGGAGCCAAGGGGCGGCTGTGGAGGCAGGTGATCAGAGGTTGGACATGAGGCTGGGACGTCCAGGATAGGAAGCGAAAGGGGGCTTCTCGCCCCGCTGCCCTTCCTGAGCTGAACAGGTCATTATTACGGAGTATTTGTTAGAGGAGGAACTTGTCGCCCTGCTCTCAGCTCTTGCTGCAGCTGCATAAAGCCCCCTCTTCAAAGGCATGCCCAGTCCTGGGGCTGGGGGAGAGGTGGCCCAGCCATTTCACCCAATCTTTGTGCACTCGGAGGAGCCATATATGCTCTGGGACATGCCGTGGGATCAGCTGAGGCTTGGTGGGGCCTGCATTGCAATGGGACAGACATCTCCCTCTGCCTACTTACTTCCTCCTTGTGTTAATTACTGGTAAATACCCCACAGGCCAACTCAGTCTCAGTATCTGCTTCTAGAGACTCCAAACTGTGACAATTTATCAAGATGGGAGGATAGAGTATATTTTATTTAACAGTTGATGTCTTGATTGTTGCATTTAAATGTGTAGATAATAGTATGTGAGCTTCCATGTGTAGTCTTGCCCTGGCAGGTGAGTGTTAGCGCAGGACCTGACAGGGAGGTCAGCGTGGAGTTCTGGGAAGATGTGGATTTGATTCTTGGCCCAGCTACTGGCCAAACCTAGGGGTCCTGGGAAAGTCTCTTCATTTCTTTTCTCAACTTCCAAGGCGAGCACATTTGTGCTTGTTCTGCCATCTCACAGGTGCCTGAGAAGCAGGATAAGACAAGGCCAGTGGAGGGAAGGTTAGTCTGTAATCTGAAAACCCCATATGCATATATGAGGTAGCAGTGATAAGACTATCCCACTCCAGTTTGAAACTGCAATGGGGGTTGACTCATCTCTGCCAAAACAAAAAGCAGACCTGAGATTGCCTAGAGATCAAAGAAAAGTCACCACTCAACACAGTCCAAGCTTTTGTTTTCAGGCTACATACTTGAGCATCCTTATTATAGTGACCTTTGGCTCCAAAAGAGTCATGTCAATACCCCAAAATTGTTATCTCACATTTCAAGGAAGCAGAATGAGGACAGTAGGAAAATGGGCAGAAAAAAAATCACCCAAAGTGGGACTGGAAGGCACAGAAGTTTGAGGAAATGAGAAGAAACCAGGATCGGTTATCTGGCCTGGTTTGGAATGAGGGCTGAGATTCAGCTGCTGTAAAGATCTGGGTGCCAGAAGCCCTCAGCATATGTGGAAAAACAGCTAGGTAAATTACTCCTCATGGTCACTTGGAGTGACGTACCCACTAAAGACAAGGCTTTGGGAAACCAAATGGCCACGGTCAAAAAATGACATGAAGAGTAAGAGGAATTCAAAGAATGAACTTAAGAGATGAGCTTAAAGCTGGACCACTTAAAGAGAAGCAGTAACACACTCAGAGTCCTAAATTCTCAACTCAAGACTTGGAAAAAGCTATATTCTTTCTAGAACAGAGCTAAAAAAAAATTTTATTATTTGAACCACAAGGCTAAAAACAAAACTCAAAATATTGTCTGCAAGTTGCAAAATCACAAAGCCAATTAAATTATCAGCCTCACCAGATTTCATGTGTGAGAGACAGTTATCACTAGGAAAAAGTGGGAATAGAAATGGGGCCTTAAAGGAGGATTTGGATAATTCCTAGTAACTGGAACCCCCAAGCCCCTCTTGGCAGCTGAAGCAAAGCCTTTTCCCTTAAATAATGAGGCTGTTCTTAACTTTGTTTGAGACTCTATTCGGACCTCACCTGAGGCAGTTACCTTGGAAAGGGAAGCCAGTCTTCTCCAACCCTCACCCATCCCCTCTGATCCTCTCATTCTTAATACTTGGGATCAGATCCAGGCACACCCTGGGAGGCCAATTACAAAGTCAACCCCAGGAATAGAAAGAATTGCAAAGTTTTGCTAATTTAAATGGAAAAGTATATGTGTGAATAAACCTAAATTTGTCAGTTTGAGGGCACTTTCCAGTGATTCTGGTTTCAATATACTATCTAGATAAATTAACTGACTTCTGGACTCAGCTAAATGAAAATAAGAAGGAGGAAATCCCCTGATATTTGTACAGAAAAAAATCCAAAGAATCAAGAAGAAGGAAATATTGAAGTGGATTTTCGCATGTAGCCAGCTCACGTCTCTCGTAAGTGTGTCTCCTGAAGGGGCCTCCACCAAGGCTTTTGGAGCATCACTGGTAAAGGAAGCACCACCATCTTTGAAAAGTACCACAGTGGCTGTTCTCAGTGACCAGGGATGCTGTGAAAGACACTGCAGTTGAAAGGAGCTCTCTGTTTAAATAGAGATGATGGGAACCAGGATCAGCAGAGGACAGATTGTAGTAGTTAACCTTCAGTGCCACGAAGGGCATGAGGACAGTCATGAGCAGTGGGGCTCAAGCAGACTTTAGAGTGATGTGACCCACAGGGAATTTGCTGATCACCAGACATACAACTAAGGTCTTATTTGAACTGCAGGACAGACAAAATTTCTAGGTCTGGTAAACAAAAGCATGACTAAAATTCCCCTACAAAAATTCCCAAATCTGAACCTGTTCCTATAGACAACCAGAGGCATTTGAGTAAAGGAAAGATGGGTTTACCTGAGGAGTGAGAACATTGGCCATAGCAGGGAAGAACTGGCAAGATCCAGTTCTTAATAAAGAAGTGGCAGTGGGAGAGACTGTAGTGTCTCAGGCTCAATGGTAGTAGCTGCTGCTCACTAACAAAAAACTCCCAACTCATAGGTCATAGCACTTGGATGAGCCACAAAACGAGTGGAAAAACACACAGGTGTGTCTTGGCCACAGAAGATTGATGTTTGTAAATACTGTGCATTCATAAAAAAAATTTAAGCACTTTTATAGCCATTATATTGATAATTGAAAAAAATACCTAGGTATAAATCTAACAAAATATGTACAAGATCTATATGAGAAAAACTACACTCTGATGAAAGAAATCAAAGAAGAACTAGATAAATGGAGAGATACTCCTGTCGGTGGATGAGAAGACTCAACATTGTTAAGATGTCAGTTCTTCTCAACTTGATCTGTGGATTCAGTGCAATTCAAATCAAAATCCCAGCAAAATATTTTGTGGATATTGGCAAACATTCTCTAAAGTTTATATTGCAAGGTAAAAGACCCAAAATGGACAACACAATACTGAAGAAAAACCAAGTTGGAGGACTGACACTAATTGACTTTAAGACTTAATATAAAGCTACAGTGATCAAGACAGTGTGGTAATAGAAAAAGAAGAGACAAATAAATCAATGGAACAGAATAGAGCCCAGAAGTAGATCCACACAAATATAGTAGACTGATCTTTGACAAAGAAGCAAAGTCAATCTAATAAAGAAAGGATAGTTTTTTTGAATATCCTTTTTATGTGCTGCAACAACTGAACATCCACATGCAAAAAAACAAATCTAGATACAAACCTAAACTATTCATAAAAATTAATTCAAAATGAATCATAGATGCAAATGTAAAATGCAAAACTATGAAACTTCTAGAAGATAATATAGGATAAAATCTAGGTAACTGAGTTTGGTGATGACTTTTTAGATACAACATCAAAAGCGTGATAAGTTGGATTTCATTAAAATTTAAAACTTCTGCTCTGCAAAAGACACTGTTAAGAGAATGAGAAGACAAACCACAGACTGGCAGAAAATATTTGCAAAACACATATCAGACAGGATTTGTATCCAAAATATACAAACAACTCTTAAAATTCAAAATAAGAAAATAAATAATACAATTTAAATATAGGCAAAAGATCTGAACAGATTTCTGTAGGTACTACTACACACCTATTAGATAGCTAAAATTCAAAATACTGACAACACTAAATGCTGACAAGGATGTGGAGCAACAGGAACTCCCATTCATTGCTGGTCAGAATGTAAAATGGTACAGCCACTTTGAAAGACAGTTTGGTAGTTTCTTACAAAGCTAAACACATGGTTACCGTACAGTCCAGCAATTATGCTCCTAGGTATTAACCCAAATGGGTTGAAAACTATGTCCACATAAAACCTACACACAAATGTTTATAGCAGCTTTATTTATAATTGCCAAAAGTTGAAAACATCCAAGATGTCCTTCAATAGGTGAAAGGATAAATGAACTGTGGCACATCCATACAATGGAATATTATTCAGCAATAAAAACAAATGAGCTATCAAGCCATGGACATGCAGGCACCTT